ATATAGAGAGAGAGAGAGAGAGAGAGAGAGAGAGACACACACACACACACACACATACATATATAAGCGATAGGCATGTAATAAATATTCCTTTCATCAATAGGTTAAGCTTTTGGGCACCAATAAGAAAATTCAAATACAAGAAATGGCAATGCGATCAATTGGACCAATTTTGGCATGCTTTCATTAAGTTAAATTAACATTGAAAATTAACCATTCTTTATGGACTTGATTGATAAAAGAATGCAAGGATAAATATTCAAATTATCCAATAATAAACTGTTAATTTTGCACGAAAAAAGAATGCATAAAAAATTAAATAAAAAAGAAGGGCTCCAAACTACGAACTTGTGTAGAAAAGAGCAGCAGTATAAAACAAACAAATTCCGATTCATCACTGTCTTTGTTCTCTCCCTAAATCTCCACAGATCTCTGGTTAAGCGCAACATATCTCCATCTCTCCTTCTCCACGAAATCAGCATCCAAAAACTTAGCAACAAAAACCCAAAACATGTACGCATCTTCAAAATTAACCAGAAAACCAAGCGATGCACTCACAGCACTAATCCCCACATCACTGCTCTCCTTCTTCCTGCTGCCCGAAGAAACGATCCCGATAACTCTCTTCTCCAGTACCCTGTTCTTCTCTAGTTCATATTTATGATCTGAGAACCCAATGTTCTGAAGAAATCCGCAGTTTAATGAAATGTTACTTCTGTCCGCCAGTTTCTGAACAAGCGCAGGCTCCACCTTTTCTCCTTTCCAGTCATACACATTGAATGCTATTGCAGATCCTCTATCGAACTTCACTTCTGGTCCATAAATCCTCACCAATGTATTACCATTGCTCGAGTTAGGATGCCTCAGCTTCTTCAGCGCAATTACTAACCAATTTGTTATGCATCTCAGTCTGGTTTGGATGACTGGTAGGCCAAGTGAGTCAGCGTGATTCAGACCTCTGAGTTCAATCTCTACGTCTTGATCGGGCTCCTCTCTCCCCGCATTGTCTTCTACCATCGCTTGGCTCTCTTCTTCTACAATTTCTGATTGTGCTTCTTTTTTTTCAGATGCTTCACCTTCATCATAGTTCTTCTCTGCCTTCTGAATCGAGCTCAATGGGCCGGAAAATGATCTCGTGTCCATATCTTCGTCTCCAGATTGTGAATGCGTGCTTCTTGCTCGAGCAATGCTGACGACGCCAATGCTTCTGGCTAGCACAGACGTCTCCAGGACTTCGTGGCTCGATTTCTTGATGAAGAGTCCAGCAAACCCTGATGGATTTTCGCCGAACACTTTGTAGAAGGAGCAGATGATGAAATCCGGCTGGATAAGAGCCATGCCCATTGTATCCATGTCCTTTGGACCCAAAGTGCAGGCATCGAGCACCACATGCCATCCCCTCTCCTGCGCCATTTTCAACCAGAGATAAGGGTATCTAACCCCTGTCATCCTGGACATGAGAGGGAAAATAAACAAACCCTTCTTCTTCTTCTTATTGCTTCTGCTTCCCAGCATCTTCTTAAGTTTCCTGGAATTGATACCGAGACCCGGCCATGAGAAGATCGCCGACTTCACCTTCGCGCCTCTCTTCAGCGCGCATTCCACCATTGGCGTAATCGCTTCGCTCTCGTAGTCGTAGACGGTGAGGAGGCGCTTGTTGGAATGGAAAGGGTAAGTCTCTGCAACCAATCTGAATGCCGTGGTTCTGTTTGCCGTGCAGATCATGACATAGTCTTCCGGCGAGATCTTGAGGAAGCTCATGATGTTGCTCTTAATGGACGATTCGAAGCCGGTGTCCTGCTCGCCATACTGCACTTCGAACTTGAGACTCGCCGATTTGTAGGACATGGTGAAGAAAGGAGAGGGATGAGAAGAAGAAGAGAGGTTATAGGCCTGGGAATGGGAGAAGAGGCCAACGCCGCTGTAATCGAGGCAGATATGATCGGAGAGGTGAGGGTAATCCGTTTCTCTGATGAGATCAGCTTGCGGCATGGTTTCGAGGTAGGATGGGAAAGCGGAAGAGAAGATGGAGAAGGAGTCCAGCAAGGAAGGAAGGGATTCGTGGTTGGTGAATTGGGAGTGGGGGAAAAGGGCTGAGATGGAGAGCGGGTGGTGGTGGTGGTGGCGCAGACTCCGTCGTGATGGCAGAGGCCACAGGCTGAGGTGCAGCAGGCCTCCATGGCTCGCCGGCCACAAGGCGAAGGCATCTCAAGTTTAATCCAGCCTTATTAGACCAGAATGAAAAATATGTTAGGGTTTGTTTTGGGTTGGATTATTATGTTTGGTGGTATTTAAATAATATTGATAGTATTTTACCCTATAATATCATTAATATTATCAAAATATCATCATAACCGGATCGATCCCCACTTATTTTAACCGGACATAATAATTTTTGTTGTTTAAGATAATTTTTTTTGTTGTTTTATTTTTCAGATCGTAACTACAATTCTATTTGGTGAATTGTTTTCTTGTTATTTTTTAAAAATTTATTATAGTTGAAAGTTTTTTTTTCAAACATGATATGTTAAATCACCGTAGCTTTTTAAACAACATCCAATAAAAAAATTATTACATCCGGACTTAGTTGAAGTGTGTCACGTGGCAAGTGGACTCCATCTCTCTAAAAACGCACCCTATTAAAGTGGGGTCCACTTACCACGTGGCAAATATCCACTAGACTCCGAACTCAAATTTGTGTGTGGTACAATAATTCCTCCTCTAATACACCCTTAATTTGTTATCAGAAAAACTCGATTCAAATAATTTTGATGGCCATTATTTGTGTTAAACAGAACATTTAACCTTTTTGATGTAAAAGCAGTTTATTTGATTGAGAGAATGGCCTTTTAGGTAATACGTAATGCGTTCAAGGTCTTACATAAGTGACTCAAATGTCCCAAAAAATATATATATATATTATCAAGTGACTAAAGTTTAGCTCATGTATATTTATATTAAATTTGATAAAATAACATAGAATAATAATAGCACCATATCGGCCAAATGTAATGATATGGAAATGCTGATTATATTGCCTTTCAAATACGCTGCATTTGATTATTTAAACATTTGCTTTGTAATGTTTACAGTCCGTTGAATCCCTATTGATGAACGAGGCAGGCCAAATTATTTATGTTAATTTTTCTGTTAACAAGTTTAAATATGACAATTATTAGAAGTCTAGATCATGAATATAGTAATTCCTTAAAAATATTGACTTATATAGCTCTATTCATGGAGTTGTGCATAGACCTCTTACCGTGGGAAAATATTTGCGTACGTAAGTGTTGCGTACATCGGGAGGTTATTTAGAGGGTATAAAGAGGTTATATCCAGGTTATACCCCCTGTAACATTCATGTAACATAACTGTAACCTACAAATAAGTTCCGCGCTTCTGTAGTTCTGATAGTTATAGGTAAGTTACAGGGAGGTTACAGGGGGTATAATGCGGATATAACCCCTCTGTTCCCTCTAAATAACCTCTGACGTACACAGCGCTGCGTACGTCTTACGTACGCAAATATTTTCCCTTACCATGACAAACAAGTCTGTGTATGCTTTGATTGATTTGCAATTCTACCCCTCTGGTATTTTTCTTAAAAAACATTGTATCAGTGCGAATAAAAGCATATTTCGGAGAACTCGCTTATTTCAGCTTTTAAATAAACAAATAATATTATTTTTAAACTGTTAGAAAACATATATCTTCATAGCATTTTTTTAATACTAATCACATAAAATAAATCTCAAATGATAACAATATATAACATTACTTATTATATTTACCCACAAAAATACAATATATATATATATATATATATATATATATATATATATATTATTTATTTAAAAAAGAAAAAAATAATAAAATACTACCAAATGACAACAAAATCCTAAACCTAAATAATTACTTTTTAACCTAAATTTTTGTCTTGAGATATTATATATTAGCAGTTGATCGTTTATGGCAAGGCAGTAGCGGCTGTCGTGTGGCAGTACTCAAGACAATAATAATCAAAGAAAGGAAATTTGAAATTTTCTTTTTCGGTGCTTGAATATAACGGTAGCAAAAGAAATAAATTAGTGTCACATTGCTCCATTAATATCCTTTTTGCATTTAACGGTAAGTTTCATGAATTATTTTTTATAATTTTGTTATTTAAAATGAGAGAAAACAAAATATTATTGATGCGTGCCAGAAGATTTGTGGTGGCAAAGAGCTAAGGCTCTGCTCGTGTTCGGTTCGTTTATATTTCGAGCTCAAAAAGTTTCTTCATGTTCGACTCGTTTGCTTAGCGAGCGGAACACGAGCCGTTCACGAACAAAGAGTCGTTTTGACAACCCTAATCACGTAGTCACAAGATGTTAAGGATTTGGTCAAGATTTAAAACATCATTTGAATCTAAGTTAATATTTTTTTTTTCTATTTTCTTAATTAATGCTTTCAATTGATTATAAATCTTTGCAGCCTTGTAGTCAATTAATTTTTTTTAAAATACTACTCATCATATATATATATATATATATATATAATT